CTTCTTAGTGTCTTAGACTCTCTGGGCAGACTGAGACCATGTGTCATCTTAGAGGAACGTACAGCTTAGGAAACCGGTGTTTGCCAGGATGAGTGACAAACGGGGAGCCCCTTTTAAGGGACAACTGTCCTTTTAACACCTCCCGGGGGAGAGGACTTCCCCCAGGTATTCCATTCGCACGCTTCCTGTCTCCCTGGACTTTCTCTGCCTGTCCCACACTGAGCCAGGCAGTGTCTGGGGAGACAAGCAGATCGTGTCTTTGGGGTGCTGTATCAGGATGTGTGTAAGGACCAGGCACAGTGTACGTGCCCTAAGGGGAACCACCAGGGCATTCAAGGGGAGGGGAGGAAGAAAGCGTATGTATGTATGTACAGGGAATTAGGAAAAGCTGTTGAAAGAATATTTGAGAGGAGCCTTGAAGGTTGATACAACCACACAAGAACGATGTTATTCAAACAACACAGCCAGGATGGCTATTCTGATAGCAGCTGCATCCTGAAAGCAGAAGGCATCACTTTACACAGCTTACCCGACTCGGTCCTCACGCTCGTCAGGAGGACAGGGAAGCAGACAGATGAAAGTTAAGAGACCGAGAAGAATGGGGTACGGAAGTGGGGTGAGAAGCCTAGCGGGTGTGTCTCTAAGGGCAGCCACCCACTCCTCAGCCGGCTGGGGCCAGGGCACACCCCAGGTGGGGCGAGAGCAGTGCAGGAGGCAGGAACCGCTAATCTCGGAGGAGGAAGGCGGCCGGGCAGTAGCGGCAGCCAGGTGAGGGCTGAGGACCGGTGCCAGGCACCAGAGCCAGGGAAGCCTGACCCAGCGGGGCCTGACTCGAGGGATCCCTGCTGAATGGATTAGGGTGGAGAGAAGGTCAGTTGAGAAGCCACCAGGATGGTCCAGGTGAGAGACTGAACCGGGAGAGGGGACAGGCGCACGGGAGCCGGCAAGCAGGTGCTTGTGTGCTGGACGCACAGGGTCACGCAGGTGTGAGGTGTGAGCGACGGTGCGGCTGAGTGTACGTGCACACGGCAGGCCGGGAGGGGGTCTGCAGGCTGCAGAAGCTTCCTGGCGGGGGTGCAGGTGAGGAAGCAGGGGACAAAGGAAGTCAGGTCACATCACTTGTCCTACCCCCGTGGGAGGGCTCTGTTCCAATGGACACGAAACCTTTTCTCAGCTCAGAGCCAGAGAAGCTCCCTGTGGCCCTGGAGGGGCTCTGAACATTTGTTCAAAGATGTATGCCTTGGAGACTTTGTTCTCTTCGGAGGTCTGGCTCGGCTCCCAGCTGGGTGGTGGTCACTGTCATTCCAGCTAAGTCCTCCCTCACCCAGGCTCCGCTGCCCCGTCAGATATTCTGAGCTGCAGCAAACACATTCCCATGGCCCCAGCCTGATCCCCAGGGCCTCAGCCCTTCCTGGGCCTCCTGCCAACCCCTCCCTGCACATCTTTGTAACAATCGTGTTCCTGTGCAAGCTCCAAGCGCCTCAGACCTTTCCCGGTCAGGGGATCCTTTCCTCCCTCCTCCCCTTCCCAGAGCAGAGAAGATGCTGTCAAGTTGGTGCCAAGCTTTGTCTTGGCCAGAGATGCTCCGCTCCTCATCAGGGACCGAGAGCCCTGACCACACCATGTCACACTCTCCAGCTGGCCCAAGGTTCTCCTCCCTCTGGAGGACTTCACAGACCCACCAGATGATCACCGACCCCCATTTTTGTCCTGGCAGAACAGACAAGGTGGACCCCGGCGCCCAGGAGGGTCTGGCTCCCAAAGCCTCAGAGCAGAAAACCCAATCTCAGCTTCGGGGCACCCCTGGTCCAATGGCGTAAAGGCAGCTTTCTCCAGAATACTTTCCCACTCCACTCAGTTGCAGCCCTGTGTTATGAAATAACGAATGCAATTTGGCACCTGGAGAGAAAAGGGGATCACTTTCAAGACTGTACAGTCTACAAAAACTTAAAAGGGTGAAGTGTCTTAGAAATCATGGACTGTGAACCCCCTGAAAATAAGGCAACACTGACAGATGCGTAAGTAGGGATCTAAACTCTTGCAGGCTTTCAGCTGCTCTCCAGTCTAAGACATTGATGCCTCTCACCTGGCCTGGCTTCCCCCAGACCCTCTGTGGAGTGACGCATCTGCCTTAGGCAGAGACACAGCCTGGGGTCACACACCTCCAGCCTTTGTGCATCCAGCTCTCTGCCCCTGGGTCTTGCTTTCCCCGTGGGGTTGGGGCAGAAGCTGGTGGGTGATTTGGGAGCCAGGAAATGCAACAGGGTTGAGGATGGGGAGATACATTCTGGCGAATGGGATCTAGGTTTTGGGGGCCGACTTCAGGGTCTAGGAACACCCCTCCCCTGCTCCCTTGCCACACTCGCCCCCACTCCACCCCCACCCCCCAAATGGAGCAGGCTTCCTGCCCACTAGGGCACCCATGCATTGGAAGGGAAGGCCCAGCCTCCAGAGGATGAGGTGAGAAGGGAAGAGGCCTGCTACAGGGAAGGCGGAGTCAAACATCTGGCTGGAGAGTCAGGTCTGGACACCACACGGCGGGGCGAGTGACCTCTGAGCCGCAGCTTCCCCTCTACCCCCTCTACGCAGTGTCCTGGCCAGATGTCCCCCCAAGGCATCTTCTGGCTCTGGGAAATCGAGGGTGCGGAGGTCGAGGGCTGTGTCTCCTTCCCCACCAGCCTGACCTCCCTAATTCATGCACAGTTGGTGCTTAGAACAATTCCTCGGATGACTGAATGGCATGGAGCCTCCGCATCCAAAAATCACAGGGAGGCCCGGAAGAAGAGTCTTTCCTCCAGGTCTGCCGCCGGACTGCCACAGAGGCCACAGGCCTTGGGAAAGCCCTGCCAGCCCAGAGCCTTTCCAACCAGCTCTACTCCGGCACGCAGATTTGGTTGGCGGAGTCAATCAGGAGAGAGAGCGTGCTGGAGGGAGAGAGGGTGGCCTACGCCCCGACAGGGGCGGACAGCCCCACCGCATGCCCACCCTCGGGGCTCCTCTGCCCCACTCACCCCTCTGGCTCACTCTCCTTGGCCCGTGGCCTCCCTTTGGCTCCTGCTGTCCCTGTCCTTCGCTCTCCTGGTAGCCACAACCTCTCCCCCGTCCTCTGGGGAGGCAAGAACCTTCCGTGGCCCACGCTGTCTGATCCTGTTGGGCAGGAAGACTCAGGGGCTAAGTGAAGCCTGCAGATGGGCAGGAGTTCTGCCTTCCCGGAGTCCGGGCAGGGTTATGGAAGCTGTGCAGAGAGCTAAATTGGCCTGAGCCCGGCGCCCAGGAGAGGGGCTGCTCTTTTACAAAACCTGCAGAGCGCTTCTCTCTCCCTCCATGCGCTGGCATGTCTGGGAGGTGTTTCCATCTGGACCTCTTGAGCCTCCCCGTACACTCCTGGGCACAGGGCGCGACAGAGCAGGCCTAAACGAGGCAGGAAGGTGCCCCGTCCTTCTAACTTGAGACCTACTTGAAAGTATAATGTGTGCACATGAGCGTGTGTGTGTGTGTGTGTGTGAGTGTGTGTGTGTGTTGGAGGGAGGAAGCGACAGCATATTTGGATGGTGATGTGTGTGAGCACACACAGCGATGGGAGGGTGTGTATGCCGTACTCTGAGGGGTGTGGTGTGGTGTGGTATAAGCACGGTGTATTGGGGTGTGTATCGTGTCGAAGTGTGATGTGAGTGAGTGGTGTATGTGTGACAGTGTGTTTATGGGATGTATGTGGCGAGCAGGATGTGCAGTGTGTACTAATGATGGATATATGTTTGGGGGGTTGTGATGTATCCTAGGGGCAAGAGTGGAGTGGCATCAGTTTGGAGCAGGGGCTCAACTATCTAGGGTCTCCTACCCAGAGAAGCAAGAGATAACCAGTATCCAGGCAACCATATTGGGGGGAGGGGAGGAGATATGGAGGTGAGGAATGGGCAGGAAAAGGAGGGAGGTTGAGAATTGAAGAGGAGTTTCCATGGCAACTACCAGGCAGGTCACGTGCAAAAGGCGAAGTTGCGGAAAGACACACACATCCATATATACAACATGAGGGTGGTGGGCCCCCGGAGTGGGGTCCTTCCATGAGGACAAGAGTTGCCCGCTGATCATCCACAACCCTGGAAATGCAGGCCCAGCAGAGCACACCAGGAGACAAAGGAACCAGAGACTGAGGTGCATTCGTGGGCAGCCCCCCAGTCCAGAGTTGGCAGCAGAGACAGGGCAGGCTCTCCCTCCCTCCTCCCCTCCGCAGCTGGATCCCACCCTCCAGTGCCAGTCTACCAGAACTCCTCAAGGGCTTTCCCACCAGCCACCACTTGTAAGAGCCAGAAGCTGGCGAGGGGAGCCCCAGGCTGCTCTTTCAACTCCCCGCAGAGGCCCAGTGAGACACAATGGGGGAGGCCCTGCCAGGGCCAGCCCTGCTGGAGAAGTGGGGTTGGGCTTGAGGGAAGGTAGGAATGGGGGGAGGGGACAGAAGGGGCTCTCAAGAAAAAAAAATTGCTAAGAAGGGGGGAAAAAATGATACAGATGTTCCCTCGAATCCACATGCCTAGAACCCAGTTCTACCCCACCCCAGAAACCTTGGCTGCAGCCCCCGCCACCTCCCACGGTGGCCTCACAGCACCAACCCATTTTGCGGGGCTCAGGTGTTCACACTACATCCAGCCGCTCCCCCATCTTCGCATCCCCAGCGCCAATCAAGTGCCCAAGGCTCCAAGTATTATAACAAAGGGAAAACTGGCCCTGAACACAGAGTGGGCGCAGCCCTCTTCCCTTCTAAAGCCCACAGCCTCGGCCCTGGCCAGCGGCTCGGGGCCCAGGGCCCTGACCCCTCTCCCCTCAGACACCCACCTCCTCCCCCTCCGCATCCCCCAAGCCCTGCAGCTGCCGGGCGGAAGACCGCTTACGCCCACCGATCAAAACAAAACACGCGGCCCCTGCGCCCCGCGATCGGTCCCCACCTGAGCCTCGTTCCCTCCAAAGACAAAGAACCCAACTTTGCCACCTCCGCAGCCGCTTACCGGCAAAGCGCGGCCCCCTCGGCGGAGACGATCCCAGGAGGACGAGCGGAGTCCCGAGGAGCCGGGGAGTGGCGGGGCGGGGGGCAGGGCGG